TGGGTCCCAATCTAGGCCAGACTTGCACTGTCGCCGTTGCAAAGCTTTCCATTTCGCTGGTTATTTGTTTATGTATAACTTGAACATTTAATTTCATGATTAGGAAGGATTTTTTGGTTTTGTTTTGTCCTCCGAAAATTCATGCATGTTGAAACCATCGGGGTTTAGTGCAACGCTCCTATTCACTTGATTGATTTCTACATATTCCACTTGCCTGAACCGGGGCACACTTTGTGGTTCCGCCTCACTGCCCCGGCGGGTTTTATTGCTCAGCCCTGGGGACTCTTAAATGACCCTTCGGTAATTATTACACACTGGAAGCCCCTACCTCCTGTTCCGGTGCTATCAACAATCACATCAAACCCCAAAATAAACATATGATTTCAAGCATTAATTAGAAAATCTGCATGTTTTCAATAAGGCTAGAAAGTAAGCACACAGCAGTCACAGCTGAACAACAGGAAAAAGAAATGGAGAGTTGAACTCCCACATTGTCTTCCCGGTTGTTCCTGAGGGCGGGTGCTACTACTACGCTGAGAGACACAGTATGGTGGCCCACTTTAATTCAAGTTCCAATACCAAATATTGGCAAAATGTTTTAAAATGGGTGACATTTCCTTGAGTAGAGTTTCAAGGGTTTCAAAAAACAAATAGGAAATCTGACCCCAAGTCCAGAGATGATGTTAACAACAGATTTCTGATCCTGATATACCGGCTTCAGAGTGGCCCCCAGTGATGAAGGTTCTGGGGCCACAAAGCTATGATTCCACACACCGGTTATTTTAAACTATAGGAAAGTTCATCCTCTGCCTCCCATCCACACCAACCTGACCCCAAAATTTCCCCTCCCTTCCAAATTGGGAGAAACGAATGGCCTTGGTTTTTCCTCACGGACATGACTCCCTTCCTGTGAACGGTCGATCTCTTTTCACGCATCCACTGGAAATGAATATTCCAAAAACTTTACTGGGGGGGGGTGATAGGCATCTATTTCTTTAATCTGATGTCATTTGACCTCGTTAATTTTATAAATTCTCATAATCTTACACACAAAACAGAGCCCAAGCAAAACTTTGGACAACTTTCATTTTCTGAAAATAAAAAAACAAGTAGTTTTTCACAAACATCAAATTGAAGGGTAGAGATGTGAAAGGAATATCAGTTCCCCTGATCCTTTGCCTAAACTCTCGTAGCTTAATCTCTGCGATTGTGGCTAACCTCCCACGCTCACTTGTGAGATTTTTTTAAAGGGTGGGGGGAAGAGTTCTGTGAAAGTGTGTCTCCATCCCAATCAAAACACCAATTTGGCACTCTGGCCTCTTTCCCCTAGCGCTCTCGCACGACCACTTCAAAGCCGCAGCAACAAGTCAGTAATTGTAACTTTGCATCTAAATATTTTAGCGAGTCTTGCCGCCGCGTGTCCATCTACAGTACTCATCTGTCCTCCAATTCCATTAGCGCACAAAGCAAAAATGTTACCCAAAACTCACAAACAGGAAAAGCGTCACTCTGCTCGGAGAAAGGGAGGGGGGAGGAGGAGGAGGAGGAGGAGGAGAAGAAGAAGGAGCAGTTTCTATTGATTAGTCACCGCTTTTGTGTTAAGGGCTTTCTTTAAAATAAGGGGGAAAAATGGGGGAGGTTGCAGAAATTTCACTAATGTGAGCCTCAGGCAAGGGAGAAAAAAAAAAAAAAGTGCAGAAGGGGGAGGCGGGCTGTGTCTAGATGAAAGTGAGAGGGACATAAAGGAGGCAATTGAGTCGGCTGCAGCCCGGCGAGCTAAGCTGCGGGCCGGCCGGAGTGGGGAGGGGCGGCGCGGCGCTTTGGCGCAGGGCGCAGCAGCGGGGGCTCGGGCCATTGTGGCGGCGCCCGCGGGCTCGCTCGGCCGCGCCGGGGGAGGAACAGAGGCGCCCATTGAGCGGCCGCAGCCTGGGGTGCCTGGGCCGGGGCTCCGCTCGTCTCGCTGCGCCTGCTCGGTTCGCTCTGCGGGCCGGGGGGCGGGGTGGAAGGTCCCGGGACTGTCCAGCTCTCTTTCACCGGAGCCTCGAAACCAGAAGGATGGACTTAGCAGGGGCGCAGCACCTAGGGCACGCCGGGCATGGTGCGCAACAGCACCCCACCCTGCGCAGCACTTGGATTGGACGAGGGGAAAGGGAAAGTTGGGAAAAGCAAAAGGGACCGTTTAGGAAAAGGGGCAAAATCTTAGAAAAAAGGGTGGTTCTGACCTCTTTCTGGATGTCTTTCTTCCTGAATCCTAATGTCTGCCGAGCAGTCCCCAGGCCAAAGGTGTCCCCAGGAAAGCCAGTGTCTAGCCCCTACTAGACTGATCTGACAAGAACACCCCGAAGCGGTGGGGGACATCCAAAAGTCCTCCTCCGTCAGCTCTTCCCTCCCCCTCTGCCAGGGCGCTCGCTCAGTGCCCTTTCTCAACATTCATTCTATTTTACAAAAGGGACAGCCTGAGACTTTTGATGCCCAAACAACAGAGGGGAATTTTTGAGGTTTCTAGACTTCAAACTGTAGCTCACTCTTTCGTCTCTCTGGGCCCCGCTTGCCCTCCAGGGCTCATCCGGAAAGGAAACTGGAGGAACTGAAGGGACCCAGGCTGCATCTTCCTTGACAACCCCAAATTAAATTAGACTTTAGTCTCTGAGGGCGTGTGTGTGTGTGCGCGTGCGTGCGCGTGTGTGCGTGTGCGCGTGCACGCACATTCAACGACACAGCCCCCACTGAGGAAAATACTCTGATTTTAAAAATGGTGGCAACTGCCACTGAATGGCAGCCGGCCCAGCTAGGCGACCCAAAAGACTAGAAACATTTTGTAGGTGAAATGGCCACTTTTTCCACGCTAGAGAGTCCATAAAACTTCCTGGCTCAGCGGCTTCTGGGGCTCACTGAATAATTCATCCCTCATTGCAAGCCCATAATGTCTATTCTGGGCCCTTTGTGGAGCTGTTTTCTCTTCTTTTCTCCTTGAATTATAAAAAGGTTGCCTGCCTTTGTTCAATCAAGCTGCTCTGAGCTGAAGCTTTGTCTGGGCCAAGCTAAAGTGTGAGTTTCAATGGACTCTCCAGGCTTTGTCTCCCAAGTTCATCTCCAAGTGTAGATTGTGTAGAGAAGGCCTTCTTTGTAAAAGCTGGAAAAGTTGTACAAATGTTTGACCAGCTCATTTGGGGTGTTTTGTCTCCTGGGCCTTGGTTGCTGGTGCTGCCCAGAGCGGCTGATCTGCCCTGCTGCAGATTCCAGCAACAAGTAGCAAAGCCAGGGGTGCTGGCAAGGCCTCACCCACCACTCCAGGCCCTTGTAGCCACTGCCTCAGGAGCATGCTGGGTTGGGAGAAGTTTGGTTTCTCTGCTCCCGGCCTTCCTTCTGCCCTAGCACCTCCAAGCTACAGCTAGGGCTGGAATAAAAACAGAGGTGTCTTCTCAAACCAGAAAAGCAATCTTCCAAAAACAGACTTACACAGAGTCCACGGGAAGCTCTTGCCTAGAGGGAGGGAAGTTGCCATCTCCCCACTCAACCTCCTTCCACTTGGGGTGCCATTTCTTGATTACATGCATGCTCTGGAGGTCAGTGCTTCAGTTTACTCCCTAAAGTCAGGGGCTTGGTTCCTAACAGCCAACTCTTAAATGTTCTGGGTAACAATTCTGCATTGGTTTATAATGCAGCTGCTCTGAAAGGCCAGCTGTTGCCCCAGAGCTACAAAATGAAGGTGAAGTTACTAGTTTCCTGACCCATAGTCCTACCCTGGACCCCACTCTAGTTAGAGCACGGGTCCAGCTGGTCAGAGTGGTGACTTCTGCAAGCCTGTCTAGGGCACCTCTAAAGCTCAGCTTAGTCCAAAGGCCCTGGGCTCCAGACCAGGGAACTCTGGGTATAGATAGGGTACCTGACCACTCCTAACCATTTTCTAATTTGAAGAGCTACAACTTTCTGCAAGGCCACAGCCACTGAGACACAATTTTTCTCCTGCATGTTTTTTTTTCTAGTTCATTTCACAAGGTACTGATCTATCTCTCTCTCTCTCTCTCTCTCTCTCTCTCTCTCTCTCTCTCTCACACACACACACACACACACACACACACACCAGGTAATATGGAAAAACCCTGCAATTCTTGCTCCCCTGGGGGTAAGATTTTCTCTTGCTGCTGACAGATCATAGCCCACATGGAGTGGGTGGTCTGTACCCCTGGGGGACAGAGGGTGCCTGTCACTAGGGGCCCAAGAACACAGATCCCTTTGACTTGTAACCCAGAGCTTAGGCACTTTGGATTCCCAGACACACAGATTAGACCCTGTCATACTTAAAGCAGCCAACGCGCGCACGCGCGTGCGCACACACACACACACACACACACGCACACACAGTTACAAGGCAGCAGAAGTGGGGCAACTTTAGGCTCCCACTACCCAAAAGAATCATATTCATATTCTCTCTCTCTCTCTCTCTCTCTCTCTCTCTCTCTCTCTCCCCCCCCATTTTTCCCAGAGTGTAACAAGTTTTTCAGACTTAAGTACCCTGTATCCTCAGTCCAAGTAATTCTCAGGGAAGTTCACATCCCATCTCTGGTCTCTACCCAGCACAACTCAGAGTACTAGACAATAAGGAACTGAAAGAGATGTCAAAGAAAACTCATAATAATTTAGTATTGGCATTATTTGAGTGTGGGTCAGTGGCACAACGTTTGCCACGCATGTATGAGGCCCTGGGTTTGACCCCCAGAACGACAAAAATAAATAAATAAATAAAAGAAAGACAAAAAAATAAATAAATAAATAAATAAATAAATAAATAAATAGTAAATATTAGAACAGAGATTTTTGTTTCAATAGCAAGTACTTCTCCGGTCTTTTACTCTAATGTCCTTACCCGAGGGCAGTGACTGTGAGCGAGGCCGGGGCTGAGCTTTGAGATGAGCCGAGCCAGCCTATACCCTCTGGCAGACAAGCGTGAGAACCAGCGCTAGCAGGAACAGAGAGCAACAGCCCGCCGGGCGGCTTACCTCGCTCGCTCAGGATGCCGTCGATGCTGTGTTTAGCCTTTTTCTCGCTTTCCTCAGTTTCCTTCCTCTCCAGATCGGCCTCCTCCTCTTCGCCTTTCCCGAATTTGCTCCTCAGGATGCGGCTGATGGAACTCACTGGGGACAAGAGGAGGAAATGAGTGCACACGATTGAGAAGAGCCAGCCTGATTCCGAGGGAGACCCCAAAGGTTCAGCTGAGGCACTGAACTTGCGCTGGGCTTGGTGCCGCTTCCAGCATCTCAGGGCCTCCATGTCCCTCTCCATCTTCTAGGCCTCCTACTTAAAACCCCCCATCTTTTCATGGGCTTTTAGGTATGCAGACCGAGTCTGGAAATCTCGCACCTCCAATTTAGAACCCATAAATGTCACCGCTATCCCTCTCTTTCAAAATGCAGTTCACCTCAAGCCTCTGTACAACCTAAGAGACTGCCTCCACCACCCCAACCTGGACTCTCCGTCCGCCCCACCTGGATATACTGTGTCCCGCAGTTCCAGGAAAGAACCACAGAGGGCCTGTCGCCTGCAAATCAACTTTTTTTTTTTTTTTTTTTTTTTTTTCTTTTTTCTTTTGTAAATTTCAACAGCAGAATCTTTCCCTATTGTAAAAATCAAAAGAAAATGCACTCTCCCCGATTTATTTTTTCCAGATTCCAGTCTGGTAAACAAATCCATGCTCTGAAATATATCGTCCTCACAGAGGGAAAAAGGGAGTTTCCTTCTAATTAAAAACAAACTCTCCCGCGTGCCCTTGCGCAGGCCCTGCTCTGGCCCTTCCTCCACCTCCGCCTCCCTGAAGCTGCACTGACGCCGGATGGACCCTGGAACTTTCTAGAAATTCAGGCAAGAGCAGAGGTTTTCCCTGTTTTTAGCACAGGACTTTCTCTATAGTACGGCCGGTCTCCCTCCGCTGGGGGTTACCAAAACATTTGTTTCTCTTTAAAAAGAAACATCTAAATTAATAATCGCTTGGCCTGCCCCTCACGTCTCCTTCTCTGCCATCTCAATGGAAATCCGTTTTAGGGAAAACTCTGAGGCTGTTTCCCAGCACCACCACCACCACCCCCCCCCCCCCCCCCCCTAACATTAAACAAGGTTCCTTTAGGGTACTCGGAGTGAGCAGCAGGCGGGTAAGTTACAGACACTCACGTCGCACCTCGGGGAGAAGTTAATGGGCCTCGTACCTGAGGGTACAGTGTTCCGATCACACACCGCGTCCTTGAGTAATTTGTCTCGGATTTCCCAGCTGAACATGCCCGGGTTCTCTCTTTTGTATTCCTCAATTTTCTTCTCCACGTCAGGCGTTGTCACCTGCTTTAAGAGAACAGGCGGGCCCGCGTTGGTACCCGGTATTCTTGGCTGGGCACGGTGTCCCCACCTCCACCTGCATCCTCTAAGAAGGTGTCACTGCTTAGCCAAAGGGCTCCAATTCTGAGGCAGCTCACATTAGAAAGGGGCAGACCGGAAACCACCCCACCTGGGAACCCTCCACCTGCCCAGATAAGCTTGGAGAATGGAATTCAATTAAGAAAACTTATAACACCTTGGAGGCGACCTATACTTTCTGATCCCTGGAAATGAACACAGCTCCTCTGAACCAATACAAAAACGAAACTAAAAATAGAATGATTGAAAGAGTGGGTGAAAAATCAAATTAGGTCAGCTCAAAAGGGCCACAGATTTGAGTTAAAGTGGGGACTGGAATGAGATGTAGCTGGTCGTGTGTTTAGGTTTTTAAATTGACAAATGTGGGCAATTTGAGAGAAAGGCTGTTTCATCCAGCTGAATAAAAGTGTCTCCCAACATTCCCAGGTTAAGCAAGGAACTGGGGAGGAGAGGGAGAAGGACCCGTTTGGGAGTCTTCAGTGTGCCAAAACCCTTTTGATTTTGCTCCCTGGCAATTAGAAAAATCATGCTGGCTTCTCTGTACAACCCAAAGAAAAGGCAGACCCTCTGCAATCTCCTCCCATTCAACCCTAGCCTAGGTGACTCTCATTTTTTTTTCTTAAAGAGAACCAAAATAATCTCAGGATCGCACCTATATTTTTAAAAAGGAGGAGTCAGGAGACTTATTATGAAGGAAGCTAATAGCCCTGGCCTTTGACTCTTTGGAAACAATTTATACTGGAAGAGATTAGAAGTTGGGAGAGAAACCACTCAGGAACCAAATAAGGAACCGTAGCTTCATTTTGGAAAGGACTTGCAGTGGAGGGGAGTTGGGGAGACATTGGGGCAGAATTCTGTAACAGGTGGGGTGGAATTAGGTGTTTGTTAAAATAATCTGATGAGGATTCCAGGGCTACCAAATTTTAAACAATGTTATCTTCTCTAGCATTTGTTGTTCAAGGATCATCAGCAACCAGAATTTCTCATGTCCATAACACACACACACACACACACACACACACACACACACACACACACCACACCACACCACCCCTTTCTGAATTTGAAAAGCACCTCCTTGGAAAATCCCAGATGACAGCCCTTGTTTCCAGCCATCTACTCCCATCCAGCTGAAGGCAGCCATGAGTACACCAGACCAGGCCCCACTCTCACCTTGGGCTTGCTGCCTCCAATGGCACCAGGGCGGATAGAACCTGTCTCCTGATACCTGCACAGGATCTTAGAGACGCAACCGTGGGATACCCGGAGCTGGCGAGAGATGACGCAGGGCCGAATGCCGTGGTGGGCCATCTCCACAATCTTGTGGCGGATGTGGTTAGGCAAAGGCCTGCCGTTGATAAATACTCCTCCGAGCTGGTTGACCCGGCCCTGGCCGAGGGGGGTAGACACTGGGAGGAGAAGGTGAAAAAGAGCCAGGAAAAAAAAAAAATAGGAAGATGAGAAAGCGGCAGGTTAGATAAAATCTCCTAATTTTGCATCCCTCTGACCAGTCTGCATATGACAGTCCCACACAGTCGGACTGCCTGTCCCAGACACTCTTTCAGTTACATTTGTTTAACTAATTAACCAGTGCAGGGGCATATAATCTCTTAGAAAGTAAGTAACTTGGGTCAAGATAGCTAGCTGCAAACTGTCCTCCTTTTGGGCCCTTGGAGGGCTTCAACTTGGAGGGAGACTGTTTTTCCACAGCTGCCACGAAACTCTGGGGCCGCTGGGTCTCAGGCAAGCTGACAGCCTTTAGGGTTTCTGGATTAGAGTATAGCAGGCAAAGGTTAGGTAGGGTCCCGAGAGGACGCACAGGTGGTAGCCGGTATCACCTGTTACACCTCGGGACCACAGCAGAATCCCGAGGCGGGTGTGCTTGTGGACACCTGACCACGATTACTGCTCTGGATATTGCAGTAGACACTGGATGGAGGGCAAAGGACACTTCCAGAATCCCGGTCCGGTGCCCTAGCCTCCCAAATTATTTGGAAGTGTTCGGGTTTGCAGTGATTTCTGTCTCTCCGGAGATACTCAGAATCTTCAAGCAAACCTAGAGATGGTCCCAAACATGTGGTAGAAACTTCGAGAAGCTACTTGAGTTGAACGAAACTTTAATTGATGAATACTAAAAGAATTCCTGGATATAATTTGCGAGCCAAACGAACCACCACAATTTTGCACAGTAGGAAAATTCTTGCTGAACTAGCAAGAGTTTCCCCCAAATGGGTCCAGCCAGGATAATTTCATAACAACTTTGGATGGACCGATTGCGAGGTTGCTTCCGGTACTTCGAAGCTGTTCACCACCTTCCTCATCCCGACAACTCCCAAACAACCCGGCAAAGTGGAGGCTGCCAGGAGCAGGCCGGGCCGCCAAGCTCTGTGAGGGATCATAGAGAACATCGCTCTCTCACGCAGTCAGAAAGCTTACTGGGGGTTCGTTCCCACACCACCCCCACTACTGCTTCTTGGGGTGGGAAGCATTGGGGAATGGGTTCACCAGACATGCCTGAGGAGGCCTTGGAGACCCGGGGTGGGATGCGGCAGCCCCTGTAGGCCCGGGATTCCGCCTGCGCTGAGGCCCTCGCTTACCTTCCAGCGGGAAGCCGCTGCGTGGGTAATTCTGCCCCGGGCCGGGCCGCATCATCCTGGGCACAGCGCCGGCCAGCGTGGTCATCCTGGGGGCAGCTTCGCTCGCAAATTATATCCAGGTGAAGGCGAAGCGGAAAAGCGAGCACTGAGCGCCGGGTGACCCTCGGGAACTCTCCAGATCGAGAAGTGCTCCTCCCCAAAAAAAGGCTGGAGAAAGAGGAGGGACCCAGGGAGGGGGGCTGCCAGCTCCTAGTCCACAGGCTGGGGATGGATCCCGGAAAAGGAGCGAGTGAGGAGTCCCCAGAGTGCAGGATCCCAAGCCCAGGGTGGAGAAGTTTGGTACGAGTTTGGCGGGACGGCCCCTCTGCTGGGGCCACCGGCCAGGGGGCTCAGAGCGCCGCGAGGATCGCGGGCAGAAGGGTTGTGACCAGGCGGGAGCGAGTCTCCTCCCGTCGTGACACCGAGTGCAGGGATCCGGGCTCGGGAGCATTTATTAGTTCTTTCACCCAAAGCTTGGTCAAGAGCCCTGAGCTGCGATTGGCCGACGAGGAGACCGTCCCGGGTGGCGAAGACACGCGCTGATTGGGCGACAGCGGCTACTTTCTCTTCCCATCCCTGACGGTGCCTAGGCCTCCGCCGACCCCGAGAGGGACCCGAGCTGTGCCCCTTCCCCCGGAGAGATGGGCGAACCCGTGGAAAGTGGGAGAGACAGCCCGAGGGTGATGAGAGCAGCTGGGGGAGGAGAAGGGTCAGCGGTGTCTGCGTTACTCTCTACGCTTGCATCCCTCGGTTCTCTTTTCTATTTCTGTGTGTCTGTCCCGATCTCTTTCTGTGTCTCTTCCTGTGAGCCTTGCTCAATCTCTGTCCCTCTCATTCTCTCTGTCTCTGCTTTTCACCTGTGGCTCTCTCCCGGCTTATTACCACGGGAGGGGGCACAACTCCAAGAAGACACCGGGAGCCCCAGATGTGTTTAGCTTTCCTTCCTCCTGTCTGTCACTGCCCCTGAGCCTGGGCTTGTTATATGAGCCTCCCTGTGTGACTCCTCTCAGAAGAGCCCTGAATGTGCCTAAAATGTTCTTTTGTCTTCCTCAGGCAGGAGCTGAAGGCTCGGTGGGGTAGGCTGAAACCTAAATGTGGCTAGGCCCTAGGACTGTTAGCTGCAGGCTGGGATGGGGGGACTCAACTCCTTTTCTTGATTTAAAAACCCTCTGGGAAACTGGGGCTTTAAATCTCCGCATACAGATTCCCCAATGCACAGATGCATCTATATGTTAAAGTTTTGCCCGGCTGCAGCGTTTGTTCTCAGGAATTTATTATGGCATTCAGACTAAACTGCTGGAAAAATAAAAGGAGCAAAGTCTTGGCTAGGAGCTGAAGTGTCCCCAGCAGGATATGACGCCAGGAGTGTTGTAAAGACTGTCTGTCCTTAGAGAAGGTACCATTGTGCATAGCCTTTTATTTATAACTTGGTAAGTGCCAGCGAACTCGCCTCCTTTACACCCCCGAGTGCCAGCCCCGCGTTCTGCACTGCGCTTTATTCCCTCAAGTCTATTCAGGGACTGTCACTCCAGGGCCTCGAGGTATTCAGGGCCTTAATCAATCAAAAGGATGAGAATCGGGCAGGTTTTTTTCCCTTTGAAATAAAGAAAACAATGACTTCTGGGCTTCAAGTTCCCCCTTTTCCTTTTACGATTTTTGAATTTCTCCTGTCCTGGAGTGCTCCACCTCTCTGTTTCCCTCCTCCAATCTTCTTTGACAGTTTTGACATGAACTCGGGCCCCCAATTCTACTTGCCCACCCCCTAATTAAGGCAAACTCAGGAGACAAGCTTGAAGAGTGGTGGAGCTGTTCAACAGCCCAAGAACTGGCCCTTTAAGAATCTACTCACAGTGGGGAAACTTGGGTAGCTCTCCATTCCCCCTGATGCGAAAAGGCTTGGTTGACCCTGGGAGCCAATGTGGCAGGCCTCTGGAGACTCCAGAAAATGCTTGGACCCCACCCCACCCCCATCCACCCACACTTGGGGAGGCATTTATATCCATAGTACAAAGCCTAGAAGCTGCTAAAACCTGTTTGCAAGGAAGTCTGTTTAACCTGGTTTTACATAAAATGATTCCATTTGTCAAGGGGAAAACTTTCTCATTTCCTTAAAGTCTGTTTCCTAAACCACCAGGCATCAATAGTATCTGAGGACTTAGGCTTTTCCTGAGTTTTCTGCCTCCCAAAAGTTGAGCAGAGCTGACTTAGCACATTGTAAGGTCAGCAGTAAATTGTTTGGAGAAGGGGGGGAGACCCTCGGTGTATTTAAAGAGAGCAAATTCAGGCTGCACACTCAATGTAATGGAACACTTCCATGAGATTTAGATACCTCCCTCCGGGTCTGAGTCCCCTTTGTTTGTGAGTCCAGGCTGGGTCTCTTCAGCAGAGTGATCTTTCCCGGAGAGCTGGCAAAACTAGCTTATTTGTGACGGGTCAGCTGCAGATTCCTTCCTGGGTTTCCAAACTCCCCTGAGAGACTTTTACTGATGTATTCCCAGTTAACTGCCCATGGGTGCTGGTCCTCTAGTACAATCATAAACTAGTCCCCGCTTGCTATGAAAATGTACACTCGGGCAGAGAAGATATGTGAGGGTGGGGGCCTGAAGCTTCTAGGTGGATGACCCAGGTTTTTCTCCTTCCCAGCCCAGCACTCTGGTTTACACACAGTCAGAGGATTAAATTCAACTCATCTTCCAGCAGAAAGCCAGAGAATCCAGAGGGAGCTGAGTAGATACTCAGGCTGCCGACCGACAGCTGGGCTATTTCTAAAGGTCTTGAGAGTCTAATAATGCCCTGTGATTATTCTAGAAGATCTACTCAGGAAGGCCAAGCAGTAGTATTGGCTGAGGCTCTCCAGTCAATGGCACCCGCAGCTGCTAAACCAAACCCTGCACAGAATGATGTGCAACAGGTCACTGGAAGGCCTGGTAGTAACTGGTTTCTTAGAGGCTTAGAAGGACTAATTATAGTTTCAATACTGTGACCCCCTCTCCCCTTCTCTGAGGCTGGGGCCTGGCTCTTAGTCCCCCCCACACACACACAAATATCTCCCAAAGGCGAAACCACCCACTTTGCAACCCCCAGAACCAAAGAACATCAACTCACACTACTTCTTCACTTTGGAGTCACTGGGCCACCAAATCCAGGTGCCCAAACTGGCCACCTGTACAGCAGCTAAATGGTGAGTCTGGCAGGGTGAGGGCAGGTTCTCTGCAACTCTGAACCCATGTTTGGTCAGTGGCACCATCCTCTAGACTCATAGAGTACCCCAAATGTGTCCAGGGGAGTCCCTACAACAAATTTGTAAAAGATTTGGCATCCATCCCTACCACCCCCTGATTTATAAAATGAAGGCGGAATATTGAGACAATCTGACAATCTTAATAATTTAAACCCCAACAAAGGAGGGGTGGACTTTGTTCTTGAGTCTTGTGTTCCTCCTCTCCCAGTCTCCAAGGTGGTCCAGGTGAAACAGAGTGGGCTGGTGGTCCGGGCCTGAGTGGAACATATTTTGTTCACATGAAGGTGAGACCCAGACCTACAACCCAAACACAGTGGAGTGACTTCTACCTGGACAGGCCTCCTCTGTGAGGTCTCCTCACTAGGAGATCCCCACACAAGTGTCACTAGACATCAGAGGGATGACCTCACTTCCAGGAGAATTCCAGTTTTAAAAGGGAATTATAGTCTATTTAAAATAATGTATCTGACTGTATTGTGTTGGGAGAGGGGAGTAAGGTGATGGGGTCCTCCTCCAGGACCCATTCTGTGGGGTCTGAAGGGTCAAGCACTAAGACACTGGCTGGTCCATAGGGGAAGTGCCTAGCCAGGCAGCTGGCGGCAGGGTGCACTTGGACAACCCCATACAAAACCTCAGTCCTACAAACAGGCTGCTGATCACTCACAGGAAGGAAATTAAAACTACAGGTTCCAGAGCACCGCCTTCTTGGCCAGATGCAATGGTACAGATTGGTGTGGGGGGCCGGAGGGGGTGTTAAACTCATGGTGCATCACTGCCAGAAGGACAGCAACGGTCACTAAGCACCCCCCTCCCCATTGTTCGTCAAAAGCCTTGGCACCACTCTTCTCGTTTAAAAAAAAAAAAAACGGTCGGGTAAACTCGGATTTAGGAACTGGATGTGGATCTGGGAACCGCATTGAAATGTGTGGGCCAGCCACAGCCAGTTTGCCCCTGCCATGACCTATACAGGAGGGAGCCTTGGGGAACTGTGAACCAGTTCACAATAAAGAACATATGGTTTGTGGGAAAGAGAGAGGAAAGAAAAAGGGGGAAATGAAAAGGAAAATGGAGAGGAAGAGAAAAAAAATAAGATTGCAAAACACTGACGGAGGCAGGAACTACATTTGCTGGTCTACTGAAGTTCCCTTGTGAAATTTATACAAACATGGACTTCAAGATGCCACCGCCTGATGCGGGGTGGGGGCGGCACCTTGCAATAAAATACAATAAACAATTGATCCTCTCTGCATGACTTGATAGGAGTCTACTGGGGAAGAGGATTTGATGCCTAAAAGAGAAATTAGGCTCTCTCTCTCTCTCTCTCTCTCTCTCTCTCTCTCTCTCTCTCTCTCTCTCTCTCTCTCTCTCTCGTGTGTGTGTGTGTGTGTGTGTGTGTGTGTGTGTGGTCGGAAGGTAAAGTCCTTAGCCTGAGGACTGACTGGCTGGTCCAGAGAGCAGCCTGGGCCTTATTTGTGCAAAGGCCTAGATGGGGCAAGTAAAGAGTGAAGAGAAGTAAGGTTTCTAAAGCTGGCTAATGTTAGTTCCAGCAAAGAGGTAGGCAAATGACCCTTTCAGGAACTCCTGAGACTGCGTACCCCACCCCTCTCCAGGGGCAGGGGGATGGTGGAGTGGGAGAGCAGTAGTGGTGCTGCCTGGCGAGGTAACAGGCCTATCGTTGGGTGAGTGTAGACCTGTCTCCGACTGGAGAGGTGCCTGCGTCAGGGCTAGTGGGTTGCCCCGGCTTCACTGCCTCCCAAACCTTCTGCTCACAGGACAATTTTGCTGGAGATGTTTTCAACCGGAAGGAAGAGGGTTGGATCGCTAGAAGCAACAAGAGAGAAACCTGGAAGAAAAATGTTCAAGCGCAGGGCGTCCCTGCTGAGTCTGGACGCGCTCCACTGGGGGGAAGGGAGGAGGGAGCCTGAGGAGGCGGGATGCGAGTGAGCTCAGCACCCGGGATCCTTGGGTTTTAAAGGCACGTCTGGAGCTGGAGACCGCGCAGCCCACTGAGCGGAGGAATGGCAACAGGTGGAGGAGGCAGGGTTCCCCGCCTCCAAGCCTGGTGCGCTCTGGCCAGAGACTCGCCTGGAGCGGGCCTGCGGCCTGGAGGAGACCTCGGGAAGCCGCCGCGTGCACCTGCTCGCAGACAATCCCGGCTGAAGCCCCTGTGGCTGGGCAGTATGCGGGG